GTGTGTGGAGAACAGAGGACAATTTGTAGGAACTGGTTCTCTCCTCCACCAAGCAGATCCTGGAGGTTGAACTCTTCAGACCAGAGGAGAGGCCTTTGCTTGCTGAACCATCTATCAGTCTCCCCATGAAAGTACCTTCCAGCCATTTGATGTCTTCTGTTAGTAATTTCCCACCCCACGACCTCTTCATTCTGCCCTTTGCCTGTAAACCCTTTCTGGTGTCTTTTATTTCAAACTAACCTTCCTTTTTATTTTTTAGTTATTTTTTAATTGAGATGGGTTCTCATTATGTAGACCAGGTTGGCCTTGAACTCACAGTGATTAGCCTGTTTCTGTCTCCCAAATGCTGGGGTTAATGTGTACCAGCATACTGAACCAGCTAACCACCCACTATTAAAAACAAACGCTTTAGCTTTTGACAACCTCTTACAACCCAGACTAGCCCCAAACTTGGGATTCTCTTGCGTCTGCCTCCAACGTGTTAGAATTACAGAGTGCACTATAGTGGCTGTTTTAAAATGTCACTCAATAAAAAAAGAAATGCCTAAATATTAGAGAAAAAACTTAACTGTTCAGGGTTGCAGCAACAATGGAGGGAATTCAGGCTGCAAATGCAAGGCAGGAAGGGATTCATAGCCCAAGGGCAGCGTGCAGTGGGCAACAGATGGAGGGTTAGTGACGAGACCATCAGGGATCAGCAGAGTCTGGCCGAACAGAGTTCTTGCTGATAAGTTAAGGGTTTATTTGTCGATGGTGATATGTTTCAGGGATATAACACTGATATCCATCAACTCAATCAGGCATCAAGGGTAGAGAGATGACACACAAAAAACTTTCTTGATGAGCACGGCAACAGGATGAAGGCCAAAGACCAGCCGGGCTTTGTTGAGAAGGGAGTTTAGCTGGGCATGATGGCACACGTTGTTAATCCCAGCACTCGGAGGCAGAGGCACTGGATCTCCTTGAGTTTGAGGCCAGCCTGGTCTGCACAGCCAGCCAAGGCCACATAGTGAGACTGTGTTTCAGAGGGGGGTGGGGTGGGGGATGCAGTATGGTTAAGGTGAAAGGTTTTTTTTTTTTTTTTGTCTGTCTTGAGACAAGTATCACTGTAACCCAGGGTGGCTATGGCCCTGTCTCAGCTTTCTGAGTGCTGGGATTACAGATGTGACCCACCACACTTGGCTAGGGAATGTCTTTACCACAGGTTGATTTTCTGATTGTATATTACACACTGTGGACTTTAGATATTCTTATTGGTATGATTAAAAATATTAGTGTGCATGTGTGTGTGTCCCAATGAGTTTCTTAGGGTTGTTTGTAGGATTTGTGGCACCTTACCAATTGTTATAGCATCAGAGAAAGTTAAGGAACTTCCCCAGAGTCCCTCAACTGCTTATAGAGCTTCAGGGAGGGTGGAGGCTCGTAAGTCCCTCCCTCTCCTTGACAGGATGCTGACAGGGGCCAATCAGTGCTAAATTACCAATAACCACAGCCTTGATCAGGCTAGGGATATGACAAGAAAGCTCTTCTGCATCAGCCACAGGCCTCTTCTGAGACAAGAGAATGGAGTAGTAATAAAAGCTGGATTTAGAGCCGGCAGTGGTGGTGCACGCCTTTAATCCCAGCACTCAGGAGGCAAAGGCTGGTGGGTCTCTGTGAGTTCGAGGCCAGCCTGGTCTACAGAGCGAGTTCCAGGACACCCAGGGCTGTACAGAGAAAGCCTGTCTTGAAAAACCTAAGTGAGCAAACAAACCAAACCTGGATTTGTGTGGATATTGTGCGGATATGCACTCCAGCAGTCTGGGCCAGCAACAGCTTAGGGGAAGTGGGAGAGATGGGTGAGGGGCTGGGGCTCAGCTCACTCTGGACACGCACTTTGCGCACTTTGCCCAGGTAGTCTTTGTTACAAGGTGCTGAGGAAGCAGAGACCAAAGGGGAAGAGTCATATTTCTCTGCACAGCTCAGGTTCACCCCAACACTGCTTCCCTCAAGGTCTCAACAAGGTTCAGGCTGTGTTTAGTAATTAGCCTTTATGCCAGGACCCCGATTCTCTGCCCCCCGCCCTCCGGTCAATAAGAACTGCCTAAATAAGTCCTGAGGTGAGGTGAGATCTCTTCCAGGGAGTCACAGGGTGGGTGGGGTGACATTAAGGGAAAAGTAAAACAAACAGAAACAGATGTCCCTGCAGCCCAGGTCCCAGCCTAGGGGACCATGGGAAATGGATGGCAGCTGATAAGAATTGTTTTCAACCTGGGCCCCTGGAGTCAGAAGCTAGGCTGTGCCCCTTGGTCCTCTGGTCCTCTCCGTAGTGATCTGATTCCTGTTCCAGGGACAGGCCTGTGGACCATTCTCCCCTGCCGCCACCCTCCGCCCCAGTGAACACTGTTTTAAAGTGTTCACTAACAACCGTGGACAAAGAGTGCTGTTTGCACATCCATCTGTCACCAGGAAACACCAAACGTTCCAATCACAGGTTCTTAGTTTAGATAAAACAATTTTAAAAAATGGACATAGAAAAGGACTCGCAAGTTATTAAGGGTCCAGGAAAACAAACAGAGGGACAGGCAAGGTTGAGATTATGCTGCAGCTCCCTGGAGTAGGGAGACAGAAAGTGCTGGAAAGGGGGAAAGCTCCCCTGAAGTCAGAAAGCTGCCTGGGGTGGGCTCAGCAATGAGACCGTCAAAGAGCCTTGGAGAGGAAGAGGCTTTGGGGAGTGTAAGTGTCTTTATCAGTAAGGGGACAGTTCTTCTGTTTTCAGAATTTTATCTTCAAGTGTGAAAGCAGGAGGATCAGGGGTTCAAGACCACCCTCAGCTATATAGTGAGTGTGGGGTACAAAAGGCTGTCTCAAAACAAACAAAAAAGCCCGGCCAGGAGGTGCACGCCTTTAAGCCGAGCACTCAGGAGGCAAAGGCAGGTGCATCTCTGTGAGTTGGGGGTCAGCCTGGTCTAGAGTGAGTTCAAGGGCAACCAAGGCCCTGCATAGTGAGACCATTTCTAAAAAACCAACAGTAATAATGATAAAAAAGAGTTACCACAGACCCCTGCATTGGCTTACTGTTTGTAATGTTTACTCCATCCCCATCAGGGATGGTGTGGGATTGGACACAGCTTCACACAAGAGCCAGAGTTCCTCCCTTTATGGAACCTCTACTAGGGGAAAGCCCAACCCTTGACTTCACAGCAGGAAAGAATTGCAGGCAGAGCCAGCATGAAGCAGAGTGGAGTTTGTTTATTCTTTTGAAACGGGGTCTCATGTAGTGAAGGCTGTCCTCAATCTTGCTGTGTACTGGAGGGTACTTTTGGATTTCTGATCCTCCTGCCTTTATCTCTCAGGTGCTGGGATTCTAAGCATAAGCCATCATGTCTGGTTTTATGGAATAGAGTTCAAACCCAGGACTTTGCATATTCTAGGCAAGTACTCTGTCAACTGAGCCACAGCTAGAGGTCCATCATCTGCATTTATTTGTTTATTTGTTGTTTGAGACAGGGTCTCACTATGCATTCCTGGCTGGCCTGGAGCTCACAGAGACCTATGTGCCTCTGTCTCCTGAATGCTGGGATTAAAGGTGCAGCCACTACCCCTCACAAAGTGTATTAAAAGACATCCACATGGCAGCTAACAACTGTCTGTGACTCCAAGATCTGACACTTTCACACAGACATACCTGCAGGCAAAACACCAATGTGCATAAAATAAAAGTAAATCAATTAAAAAAAGTATTGCCTCTGATAGTTACTTTCATATTATTGTTAACCAGGTTAGAATTTTTCTTTTTTTGCTTTTCCAAGACAGTGTTTTTCTCTGTCTGGCCTTGAACTCTGTCTCCTGAGTACTGGAATTAAAGGCATAAGGAACACCCCAAGGCCACCTGGCTAGAATTCTTTTTCTTTTTAATATTAAAAGGTTTAAGTTTAATTGTGTTTGTGCGTCTCGGTTGGGGTATGTGCACCTGAGTGCAAGTGTCCATAGAAACCAGAGACATCGGGGTCTCCTGGGGCTCCAATCACAGGCAGTTCTGAGTTACCCTGATGGTTCCCTTGCAGGAGCAGCACAGCCTCTTAACCACTGAAACCTCCTGGGAGGGAATTATTTCTAAAGGTTTATTTGTTTTTATCTTATGGGTATGAGTGCGTACCTGCTGGTGGATATGCGTACCATATGCTTGTGATGCCCAGAAAAGGGCACTGGGTCCCCTGGAACCAGAGTGACAGATGGTTGTTAGCTGTCGTATGGGGGCTGAGAATGTAATCGGTGTTGTCTACAAGAGCCGTGAGTGACCACTTAGCCATTTCCCCCTCCCCGGGCTGGATTTCATTTGTTTGTTTAGTTTTGGTTTTTCTGTGTAGTTTAGTTTTCTCTGTGTAGCCTTGACTACCCTGCCTTAGCCTTGAACACAGAGATACACTTGCTTCTGCCTCCCGAGTGGTGGGATTGTAGGGATGCACCGCCACCCCCGGCCTTGAGCTGCAATTCTTGATTCTCCACTGCCTAGAAGCTTTAGCCTGACTTTGGAGTGGGGAATTCCTCATCCTTGTCTTTCCTGTCTCAAAACCTAGGTACCAACTCCATGTGCTGCAAGTGGCCTCTCCATCCTCAGGGAGGCAGAGCAGAGGACATGGGGATCCAGGCCCCGCTGCCCTTAACTCCACTGCTGTGCTTTCTTGCTTATTTCTCCCGGACTGGCTGGCCCCACTCCCTGGAGGATACTTGGTGTAGAGGCTCCCTGCCCCTGCCACACCAGCTTAGGGACAGCAGGACTACTGGCTAAGCAGGCCTAGAGGTCGTCTTGACCCTGTTTGAAGTCTTGGCTATTCCGTCCTAGCTAAACTGAAACACAGGCAGGGTTGGGCAGAGGTGGAGGGGGGTCTGTGGGACTCCTAGGAAAGATGCCCAAGAGGAAAGCAGGAGAGAGAGCTTTGGAAAGCTGATTGTGGAAATGGGCTGGTTGGTAATCGCTGAGAAAGGGAAGGATGGTATAAGCTGAAATGAAAAGAAGTTGGGTAATTGATTTGGCGCCCGGTAGACTAAAATTAGAATAATACAGAGGAGCTTAGCGTGGCTCCTGTGCAAGGATGACACACAAATTTTTGAAGTATTTTATATATAAGTGCACATATACTTTTTAAATTAATTAATTGTACTTTCACTGTGGAATCTTGGCCGGCCTGGAACTCACAGAGATGCATCTGCCTCTGCTGGGATTAAAGACCTATCTCATTACCGACCTACATTTTACAGAAAGAAAGGAAGAAAGTAAATACAATTGTGATAAAAGTTTTGCTTTGGCAATGCAGTGGCTCAATCCCAGTTCTCTGGAGGTTGATGCAGGAAGAGTAATGGGAATTTGATCCTAGCTTGGTTACAGTATGAGACTGAATAAACAAACACACAAAAATAAATAAACAAACAAATAAATAAATAAAATCCACAACCAACAGCAACAGCAAACCCACCCCCCATTGCACAGGAGTACTGCGGTCAGTGTGGCCTGTGTTGAGGCAAAAGCTAGGTGTCTGCATCCCTCCTCATCCTCATGGCCACACAGCTAATCTGGATTTGGCCCCAAGAGGGACCAACTTTGTCCTTGGCATCTCCATTCAGGCAGGGCAGTTCCTGGGGAGGGACTGGCTTTGAGCTGCCATCTGTGGAGGTCACACGGTCCACCAGGGTTAAGCCTGTTCTGCTCGGCACCAGCTGGACAACCTTGACCTGGCTCTGATCCTTATATAGAGTGTGGTATTTCCGTTTCCTCCTCTGTAAACAAGGCCTGAATGAGGATTAAATGAAACTTTGTTCCTGGAGGGGTGGGAGGCTCACCACACCCCAACCTGGGTTGACCCCCCCAAAACAAGCTCTTCAGGGCTTGGCTGTGACCCTGGTGTGGCCTTGTCTCCCTGCTCTTGGGGTGATTGGACTTGGCGCTCCTGCCTCTTCTCCAGCTCCGGGACAGGAAGCTGAAGCCGGCCCTGGCCCCTGCCCTCCCTTCTCTTCCTTGCTGGGAGCCCTGTCAGGTGTGTGTGAGAGTGTGTGAGTGTGAGTGTGTGTATGTGTGTGCGTGCGCGTGTGAGTGAGGGAATGTGCGTGTGTGAGTGTGTGCGAGTGTGAGTGTGTGCGTGAGTGCGTGTGAGAGAGTGTGTGCGTGTGTGTGAGTGTGTGCGTGAGAGTGCGTGTGTGAGTGTGTGTGCGAGAGTGTGCGAGTGTGTGTATGTGTGTGTGAGTGTGTGTGTGCATGCGTGTGTGTGCGCACGCGGGATGAGGCTCTGCTTCCTGGATTCCCCAGACTCAATGGTTTGCTCAGCACAGAATTCAGCCTGAGTTAGGCAGTGGTGGCCATGCACGCTTTTAGTCCCAGCACTGGGGAGGATGGGGCAGGGCGATCTCTGTGAGTTCGAGGCCAGCCTGGTCTACAGAGCGAGTTCCAAGGACAGCCAGAGCTACACAGGGAAACCCTGGCTCAAAAAACAAAGAGAAAGAGAATCTGTCTTACTGTCACCTGAGGGTCTGGCCATTTGCGTTTGTCCTCTGTGTGGGGATGAGGTGGAGGAGCCACAGATGAACACGGGTGCTTCTGAGTCCCCTGAGTCCCATCTGCACTTCAGATGTTGGAAAAGCTACAAAGGTGGCAGTGGAGATGGGGATGGGGGTGGGGATGGGGGATGGGGGTGGGGGATGGGGGATGGGGATGAGGATGGGGATGAGGATGGGGATGGGGATGGGGATGGGGGTGGGGATGAGGGATGGGGATGGGGATGAGGATGGGGGATGGGGGATGGGGATGGGGGTGGGGATGGGAGATGGGGGTGGGGATGGGGGATGGGGGTAGGGAGGGAGTGGGGGGTGGGGATGGGGATGGGGGTGGGGATGGGGATGGGGATGGGGATGGGGATGAGGATGAGGATGGGGATGGGGATGGGGATGGGGGTGGGGATGAGGGATGGGGATGGGGATGAGGATGGGGGATGGGGGATGGGGATGGGGATGAGGATGGGGGATGGGGGATGGGGATGAGGGATGGGGATGGGGGTGGGGATGAGGATGGGGATGGGAGTGGAGATGGAGGTGGGGACGGGGGTGGAGATGGGGTGGGGATGGGGACAGGGGGTGGGGAAGTGTGTCTCAGGTCCGCCTGGGCATATGGAAACCTGTGTGAATTGGGGTCCTTTCTCCGAGCAGACACAACTTAGCAGACAGTACCTTTGTGCATGCTCGTAAGGTTCAGGGTCCTGCCTGTTGGGCCCACAGGAGAGGTTTTGGTGAAGGTTCAACTTGATGCCCCACGTTCAGCAGACTCCTTGCCTAACAGGTTCCTCTGTACACTCCTTAGATTCTGGTTTGTGGGCCAGCTCATCATCTCCTTAGAGCTCATCTTCCCCGCCAAATGCAGTGGCTTTTTTCTTAGGCCTTCAACCCTTCAATGTAGCTTTCTTTGATAGCATTCCTAAGATCCTAGAGAAATCAGAGGTCTAGAGAGAAAACCGATTACTGATGAGGCCACAGGACAGTGAAACCTGTTTCCCTGGAGACAGACCCCCCCCCACACACACACAGAGGCACCTCAAGCAGACTTTGTAACCAAGCATCTGGCCAGCTAGTCTCCTCGACTGTGCTAGACTCCATGCCTGGCGGTTCACCTCCCACAGACATGGAAATGGATCACAACAGCAGCCTACCCACAAAATGACACTGGTCAGAAGTTGGACCTCGATTCAGCCAGACTTGTTCTCCTCACCCAGTGACTACCCTCATTCCATCACAGTTGTACACGGCCCAGAGGGTAGAGGAAGGGATGCCATGTACCCTGGCAGTTTGGCAGGGTGACTTCAACGCTATAGTTTAAGGGAGAAGTGGAAACTGTAGTCTAGAATCAATGGATATGAGTGAATCTTGCATCACTCATGGGAGCTAAGAGTTATTCTCCATGCCTTTGTTTTTCTCGTCTAACGAACAGGACGGTGCCAAACTTTTGAGGGGTGTTTTAAGGATTAAATGAGTAAACACATAATCCACAATCAAACTCAATACTGCTTGCTGTTACAGTGGTATCCCTTGAGGTCCCAGTGGGTAAACATGTTTGTCACATTTCCATAAGCTCAGTGTTTGAAATTCCCAGTGATACATTGTAGCTGATCTACAATGTGTCCTCACTGGGAAAGACATGATCCTTGCCCTAAGGCAACCTTCCAGACTGCTCAGGCCTCAGAGGCAGCCTGTTCTGCCCGGCCAAAAAGCAAGTCCTGTGAACAGAAGCCCTGTCCCTGTCAGCAGCTTCAAAGAACACATCCCATATCCCCAGCATCCTCGTCCCTCACTGAGTCATTAGGGTTCTGGCGACAGCCAAAGCCTCCAAGACTTTGTATTGCCAGCTTGACCTCTACTTAGGGTAATGATTTCTATGAGCAGGCCACCCACTGAGATGCATTCCTTTATTACTCCCCTGACATGAGTCGCTGGAACTGTAAGCACACTATTTAAGTGGTTGTAGCTCAGGATGGTGAGTGAGCTCATGATGCTTATGGCTCTTCAATAACAGATATTTCTCTACTTCGGCCTGCATCTGTCCAGATGGAGTAAATCTTGACACATGCTGTATTCTCAGCCCCTCCCCCTCTCCTCTTCTCTCTCTGCCTCTCTCTCTCCCTCACTACCTCACCCTCTGCCACACTGGGTTTTACGGAGCGCAAACTGGCCTTGAACCACGACATAGCCAAGGATGGCACTATATTGGCTCTTCCATCTCCACTTCCAGGGTGGAGTTAGAAGTGACATTCCCAGTTAGAATGGCATTGAGGACTGAGCTCATGGCTTCCTGCTGCTAGACAAGCGCTCTACCAACTAAGCCACATCCCCAGGCTTCCTATCATGCACCCCAACCTGCTCACCTCCCGGTCTTCTAATGTTTGCCCCCTCTCCCCTGTGACCTCCCCTCTCAAAAGAAAAATGAAAGAAGGGGAAAAAAGAAGGGAAGAAAGAAAGAATATACTCACTGGAGTGTGGTCACATTCCTAGTGACCAACCCCCCCCCCCAAGGATGAGTCTTCCTCCACCTGCATCCATGCCAGAAGCCATCAATCACCTGGAGAGAGCCTGAGAAGGTCCAGGCCAGCTGTCCCGTGACTATGTCTCCTCCAGCCTCAACGTGCCGTGGGCTAGTGAGGGCAGGGGCCAGCTCTCCTGCACGCATGCATGCCACCCTGCAGCTGCCAGGAAGGGACAGGACTAACTTTCCCACATCCATGCCAATGCTAGTGCTGGTGAGCGGTGGGGCCAGCTGTCCTGAGCCCTAAGACATTAACATGACTTCAGGCAGCAGCAGCCCAGACCACAGGCATCCTCGTGGCCTTGGTAACACAGGCTGCAGACAGGAATACGGCCTTTGGCTGTATCAGGACCAGTGACCCACTCATGGGTCTCAACGCGTATGCCACTCACATCAGGATGGCCCCTCAAGGCAGCAAAGTCCTAGGGCATCACCAAAGCATCAGGCAGCATATGTCCAGGATCCATTGTGGCCCGGGCAGCAGTATGAACCACAGACACCATCATGGCATTAGGTGACATCAGGGATAATGGTGGTCCTTCGAGGAGGGCAAACCCAGAAAGACTTTCCTTATGTCAGGCTTCTGTCCTTGCCCGGAGCCAGGCCGGGCGGCAGGTTGGGGGTGGGGTGGTTGAACCTGCATCTACATAAACTCCAGGCTGCACCAGGGTGTCCCACCATCCCTACTGGACAAGGGCACCTGCAGCCCTCAGCTCTGTCTCACCAGCCACAGGTCTCCAGCCCCGCCTCTCGCCATAGTGCGACATCGAGATGTTTTTCTATCTTTCCCATCTCTCCATCACATATGTGTTCTTTGTGATGACCCCACCCCCACCCCGTGGCCTGGGCTCCCATTCTTTTTGTTTAACCTCCCTCAGTTACCCTACAAACATATAGTGCCATGGGTCCTGGATTTGTGTGTGCGTAAAATAAATTATGTTAATGTGTTATTTATCGGGGGAGGGCTTGGAGCGGTGACATCTGTGTGGACGTTAGAGGAAAACCTGAAAGAGTTGGATCTCTCCTGTTATGCAAGTCCTGGGAACCAATCTCAGCTTGTCAAGCTTGCC